TAACAGGTACAGGCCTAGGTGCCGTAATGGATAGTATGGTTATGGCAACGAGAGTCAGGATGGAACAATCGAATTAAACACAGGTCCTACATCTGGCCGTTCAACAACCAAAAACTGCCCTATTTTCTTGTTTTCCTCGGTAAGGATCCTTTCCTCATTTGTTATTTTGGTATGGATGTCAGGTTAGTTTTCTTTGCCTGATATGCAGTTCACGATGAAATTTCAGGTGAATACAGGTGGCCAGTTTGTTGGTGTTGCTGAAATGACTGGTGCTGTTGCTTTGAGAAAACCCTACAGTATTGGCAACAGGACAGGTGGAATGGTTCCTCTGTTAAGTGCCGCATTGTCAAGGACGTGCCTAGCAATATTCTCAGGCACATCATCTTAGAGAACAATGAGAACAAGCCTTCTGTGTGTAGGTGAGTGAAAAATCCTTTTGTGCAGAAAGTTCTAGCTAATTAGAGAATGCTAAGAAAACCATCCATCTGGATGTAGTGACAACAGCGCCATGGATATAGGCTTAAAAATGAAAGATTCTTTGCTAGGTTTAAGACCATCTCACTGTTATATTTAACCCAGATTCTGGTGTCAGCGTTTAGATTTATTAAAACCAAACGTCCATTCTTAATTCTTAATTTTTTTCCATGCTTAATTACTTCATATCAGTTCTAGAGAATTATATTAGTGAATACACCTGCTCCCACAAGTACTTATGTCATATAGTCAGATGTATTCTAGGCTTCATGGATAGCTGATGATTAGTGACAGCTACACATATATAAGCTAGCCTTGCAATGTTCCCATGAAACATATATTTAGAGCATGTAGTCCTTTGGTGGATGGAAAAAGAAAGAGCTACAGCGAAAAAGACATGGAGTTGGCCGGTCAACTAACTAAAGTTTTTGCCTTTTATTTGTACTGACCTCCTGATTTCTTTCTTCCTTCGCTTAGATGTGTGTTTAGCTGATTTTGTTATGGATCCACCACTGGTTGTTCTCCGCTTCGGTCCGCCACATATTTCATGTTCTCAGCTTCCTGGTCCTTTACCTTCTCCGGTATAGTTTTGTCTGTGAGCCGATGTTGTCCTCAATGAGTTTAGTTGCTAGCGACATTTAGGGTATAATGTCACTATGTAAAGTATCCCCTATGCCTATTCATAGTCTTTGTGTTTTGGTCTTGTCATCCCTGCCACTTCTCAAGGTTCTAGCGTGCTCGTCCTATTTTTCCCAACGCCTGCGAAACATGTCTGAAGCTATGATCAGTTGCCTGTATATGTTGCACAGTTTCTTTCTATATTTACATTCATGCTGATGAACGAGTTGCATACTTCGTTCTGTTGTCACATTTGATGTGTCCTCTTTTTATGCAAAGATGACCACAAATTCCACTCATTTCTTACAGTTGCTTCTCTTCGCAGAATCACCACAGTGCCGGCTGTGTTTGGCTTCATCAGTCCAGCACGATCACCTCCTCCACTAATTTTAGTTTCCATAGCCCAGTTAACACCTCCTGCTTCTAGGTACTTATTTGGATTATGGCATCTTTGCAAAAATGGATATCCATGTTTATGTGTGCTCGTTCCATGCAAACATACTTCTGTTTTAGATAGCTGAACTCATTTCTTTGGATTGTATTTATGTCCAGGATCGTCACTGTTTTAGCTGTCTTGGGCTTTATCATTTTCAGCAGGGCTAATCACTCCACTGATTTTTGTTTTGTTACTCGAAGCCAACATGTTTATTCAGATCTTCAGCTATTACATTTTAGCTTTTGACTTGCAGTGCCAGCCTTCACTGCTGCTGAGGTCTCCAACTGCAAAATGTGTGCTGCTGCTGCTGCAGACTCTGTTCTAAATTTCAGAAAATGTGTTTACCCATGTTTTCTTCACAACCTTTTAGCAGGAACACGTCCTATTTGCAGTATTGCATTCCATTCAAAGCACACAAATGTGCTTGGTTGATCTGCCGGCCCACACAGACGGCAGCAGTGAAGAGGAGCACCTTCCAAGTGTCAACATCTCGGACGACTCCATCGGCGCTTCAGGTCAGTGGCCGCCTTACCCCCTCCCAATGGGAATTGGCTGTGCCATCTCAGCATTTCACCGGGTTGTCTTACTTTGCAGAGGGGATCAGAGAGCAACGAGGTTAGATTGGATACACCGCGCTGTCCTAAGAATCGGTTAGACAGCGATGACAGTGCTGCCGTGCATCCAGCCCTGCCTCCTGGGGCACCCTTGATGCATGCAATGCATATGCCCTCACTGCTTTCTTGCAGGTACTTGAAAAAGCTACTCCAGTACTCTTGTTGCTGTCTACAGCATGCCTTCCATTGGTGTAGTCACAATGCTGAGATTCCTCAATGTTCGATTGGAAACTATATACATGTCATGCTTTATCCTTATCCCTCTTAACTACACTATTGTGCAATTTATTTCAATACTCTGCATTTTACTATTATTAGAATGATCAAATTGTCTGCTCACATGCTGCCTCTATCTGCAATGGAATGGTCTTCATTGCTCGCCAACCTGTACATATAGTAATCTCTGGGTCGTTCTCATGTGCTTAGAGGCCAAATCCTTCATATTGTGCTGATTGCAGCTCTCCTAAGATACAGAGTTACATCGCGTGTTGCCTTTGTTGTCTCGTGCTGCTAAAGGTATGACTTCTCTCTGCAGATTATTTTTCCTACATATATATTTTTTATTCTTATTTAGCCGTTGTTGACCTCGTTTTGTATTCAATGTTGCAGCTGCTGAACCAATAGACTGCTAGGTATGCCTTTGGGCTTTTGGTTGGACTATGCCCAAAATAATGCTTGTTCTGGATATCGATAATGGCCCCATTCGCGTGCTCTTAAACCCGGCTTGATCCGCTTCTTTTTTCATCCGGAACAGTATTTTTCTCTCACAAATTCCTCCAGCATTCCTTCAAACCATCAGAATTCCTCCAAACGAACAGGCCCAATATATAGTTCCAACATCTCAATTTGACTCAAAAATCTTGTCGTTAATGCTGTAAAGCAGCTTTGGGGAATATCCCATGTATTTGTTACTACCTTGGTTATGTTGTCTCTAAAAGCCTATTATCCTTTGGTTCAGATGGAGTACAAAAATATGCAAAGTAGGAAAGCCTATTATCTTTTGGTTCAGATGTGGAGTACAAAAATATGCAAAGTAGGAAATGATTCAGCTTTTCATTGCCTGCAGTTGCTAATCATTTTTCAATCCGTAGATGAAACATATGTTTTCTGCATACACTGTCTTGTATCATGTCCACATATCCAGACCATACCAGCAGAGTGCAGTCCTATACGTAACCCCATTTGTGTGGCATAGTATCTATATATTAAACTATGTCATGTAACTATGAAGCAAACATATATTTCCAATCTATACCACCCACGCTTTGGGTCACCCACGCGCGCCATTGCGCGCGGTGGCGCACGGTTTGTGCTAGTAAGTGAGATATCCAAGACCTGCAAAAAAAAACTCGATCGGGGGGTTAAGACTGCCCCCGCAGCATTATAAATAAGAAGAAGGACCTTCTCATCCGGTCGAGAAAACCCCCGCCCCCACCCTTACATGGTGGTTTTTCGTCGCTCAAGTGAGAATTGGGTCGGTGCCCCCCAAGTGCTTTGGTTATGGGGACGGACGAGGGGATTTTTTTAACCTCAGCCTGAAATTCGCTCCCATGGAGAGTCGAACCCATGACCTGAGGAGCACCGCGGCATATCCAAGACGTGCAGAGGCAGTTGTGTCAGTCTTCTGATTTTTGAGTGTGTGAGAAAATAGGCCCATGCTCTGCTCTACTTCGCCGTCGATGGTCACCCGACGCTGCTCCTGCCTCTTGCTCCGCCGCCGCCCGCCCTCACTGATGGCGCAGGCACCGCCATGCCCACGCTGCGGACGCTAGTTGGCCACTGAGGTCGTTGCGAGCGTGCTCGCGCCCGATGACGCCGATAGGCGCTGCCAGCGCAAGGAGAAGCGTCGGGCCCTGTCGCAGAAGCCCTTTGGCCTCGCCTCCTACTACGGCTGCGGTGTCCTGATGCAAACAACGGAGGAGGCTGCACCGCGATAAGCGTACATTTCAAATGTTTCAGATGTTTTAGAGTATGTTGCAGGTGTTTTATTTGGATGTTGCATGTGTTTACAATGTTTTTCAAGTGTTTTTTCAGGTGTTTCAGACGCATGTTTTTCAAATGTTTTATCTGTCTTTTTTTTTATGTTGCAAGTGTTGTATCTGAATATTTTAAAAGTAGATCGGGTGTTGCACATGAGATGTGCATGGGAAGCAGGAGGGGGCGCTGGCGGCGCGGGCTCTCGTGTGGGCGTGGGTGACGTTGGCGTGGTCGAGCGACGTCCGGGTGACGCGGGCTTACGCGTGGACGCGTGAAATCGAATTGCAGCGGCGTCCGTCCAAACGTCCTAGCGCTAGCAGTGCTGTTTATTGTTGGAATCATGTATGTAATAATGTGTTTCCTTGTGATTGTTGTTGGGGATGGAATGGATGATCTGCCACCAATCATGGATGTGGTTATGATTATGGCACGGCACAGGCACCGCACCGGCCATGACAAACTGGCAAAGCTGAATTTGCATCACTGACGTGCTTTCCACTCAGCTGTCCTTCAACTCTTTCCTTTCTTGTGCTGTCATGGCCTGGCCGGTGATGTTGTTGCTGATGACTGGACAGCCTCCTCCCAGGCAGCGGTTTTACTTTCGTTTATTAGTTAGGATTAGGATTATTATTAATTAAAATATCTATTTTTTTATGACTGGTTTAGTTTTGATTTTTATCGATCCAGCAAAATATATAAATGTGGTCGAGACATTAAGCTTGATGGGTGGTTTCTCTCTGACTCTGCCGAGACGAGATGAGAAATGACAGATGAGCTGATATTACCGTCCCACTTTACTTTGTGAATGAATGAAGCAGACAAGAAACAGAGACGACCCTGATCGCCGGCCGGTGATCTTGATCAGCTACCGGAACCCAAGCATGAGGCGGCAGCCATCGACGGGCGACGCGGTGGGCACGCCGAGGGGCCTGGCGCGCTCCTCCTCGGGCGTCTGGTGGAAGCTGATGGGCGACGCATCCACCGGCGATGCGTCGGAGGTGGACCGGCAGCTGCGCGGCATCGCCGACGAAGAGGCCGCCGTGAGGGCCCGCGTGGAGAGGCGGCACGCGGGCGCCCCCGCCGTCCGACGCAAGATCACAGGCGCGTCCATGGGCCTTGAGGTGGTGGCGCTGCTGTACGGCCTGTGGAGGGCCAGGAGGCGGGGCAACGGCAGGGCGCCCACCAACACCAGGCCCTTGCTGCTGCTGCTGCTCGCCGTGCCTGCTGCCTTGGCCACCGTCGCCCTCGCTGCATTCGGCTGCTTCCGGAACATGTGTAAGCGCCGCCTAGAGCACTATTCTATCTCTCTCTGCATGGATCATCATATTCATATCAGAGGGATAATCGATGGTTCCAATTATAATTTCCTGGTGTTGAGGTTGAGCATGAGCATGCATATTTGTATATATATTTTTTATTTATGAAGAAACCAAGCCTGATGGTATGATATGATCCTGCTGCTGCTTCATGCATGATCATGGATCTGCAGTGGATCGCAGGGATGAGCAGCAGCTGGAGCGGCTCCGAGCAGAAAGGAAGGCTAAGATTGGCAGCTTCAGGGGAAGCCACCACAACTTGCAAAAGCTCATCCAGGTAAATTCAATTCTCAGATAGAAATAGACGATATATACTGATTGATTACTTAAATTGCAGGATATATACAAAAAGGAAATTAATATGATACATACAGTATGCATTTGAATTTTGATGATGATGATATGGGCATATGGTGATGTTTGTTTGTTTTTGTTTTCCTTTTCCGGGCTCATGCGCGCAATGCAACGACTCACGCAATGCAGAAGTACGATCCTGAGGAGGATGCTGATGACAGCAACACTGATGCAGCAGCAACTGCGCATGGTGATAGCAAAACTACGAAAAAGCTCAAGAGGACGCACTCGCGGTTGAGCTTCCAGTTCCATGTGGGAGAAGAGGAGACGAATGAAATGACGAAACCAGCCAATGCAATGCAATCGTCCGTCTGTCGTCGATCTTGAGCGCACGACAGAGCAATCGTCCCCGGCACGGATAGCATTCATTCTGTTATTCGGACGACTAGTTCTCATCTTATTATTTCTCTAGCTTTGTGTGTGCTATATCTCCATGTAATCGTCTCTTGTTTGTGCGGGACTTGTGTGCATCATCCATCTTTCTCCTTTCTCATCCTCAGCAGATGGAGCGGTTGCACTGCATCGGCACTACTGTACCATGCATGAATTTCATGTGTAAATAAACACAGTAACAATTGCCGTTCCTATTCACGATCCCGAGTAGCATATATACAATTTTACTAGGTCCGTCCGTGCCGGTGCGTTGCGATGGGTGAAAAAAATTCACCACATGATCGATTGGTCCTGTCTGAGGATCCTTGCTGATGCCAAACCAAAATCGAGACAAAAAAGGGTTTATGTCCATGTGTTACTAGCTATTCGTGTCTTCCAAACAACAAATTCTTCAGAATCAAAGTCTTCTCATTTTCATAATTAATTATTCATTGAGTTCGTGAACCGTTGCTGTAATGTAAGTTGTGGGATGGGAACTGAAACGGAGCAAGCTGACCCCCGCGTCGTCTACTGAGGCGACTCGGGGGGTGACCAGCAGCCGCTCGGGGTGTTTGGCTGCCTCCTAAATTTGAGTCGTTGTTTCATCGGATATTCGACACATGAAGTATTAAATATAGACTAATTATAAAACTAATAACATAGTTTACGACTAATTTACGATACGAATCTTTTGAGCCTAATTAGTCTATGAGTTGACAATATTTGCTACAGTAAACATGTGTTAATGACAGCTTAATTAGGCTTACAAAATTCGTCTCGTGGAGTACTGACGGATTATGTAATTTGTTTTTTTTATTAATATCCGAACACCCCATACAACATCCTCCCGACAAAACTCCTAAATTTTAATAACCGGATCCAAACACCCCCTTAGCCCGGGCCACTGCTGCTTGCCGATGAGCGGTGGTGGTGGCCCGCAACGGTGTAAAAAAAAAGCTAAAAAAAAAGGCTGACCGCCGCACCTCCCCCCTTGCCCCGAATGGGTTTTTCCTGATGCATGCGATTTTCTTCACATGTAGTTCTTAAAGAGACGGCGCCAGTAGGGAAAGATACATGGACCAGGGCTAAGAACTGCAAGAGTAAATGTACATATACTGGCGGGTTTCACATTTTGAGGCGGGAGCAGAAGGCGAACAGGAACCGGAGCAAGTGATTGGTGGCGGCGGCCGTCGACTGCTCTCTCTCTCTCTCTCTCTCTCCTTGTTTAGACCTTTCCTTCGTTTGGTTTCACATTTTGGAAACTTTCAAAACTTTTAAAAAAAGGCAAATTTGTTTGCTTTAATATTTTATATTTATTTCATTTTTTGATAGAGAAAAGACAATTTAGAAAACGAGAGAGGCCCTGTTTGGATCAAATTCTCAAAGAAATTTTGAAGGAATATCTTCTATAGCAAATGAATCACATTATAGTGTTTGGAACTAAGGAGAGTTGAATTCCTTGCTAAAGGAAAGAAAAAGGAGCAAAACGTAGGAAATAAAATCTCCACTCCAACTCAAGGAAAGATTCTTTACTCTTTCTCTTGCTATGTTTGCTCATGTTCTTGAACTTTTTTTTTTCCTCCCTTTAGTTTTGAGCAAAGTATTGTAGGTATTTAGATAGCAAGGTATTTTAAGTATTCTTTTAGAGTTTATTACTTATTTTAAAAATGTTTGTAAAGCTTTTTAAGTTACTAGGGTAATGCCCGTACGTTGCACCGGTGAACGGTAAGATGTAAATCGGAGTAATCCGAGGATTTGGATCCCTATATTATTATTATGAAGCACAGTCCCTTGCACCTTAACCGTGCACCTTGCTTTAACCGAGGCCCATTAAACTCAGTTAAAGAAGGTGCCACGATTCAGCCCTTGTTTAGTTACCCCAGAATTCAAATTTTGGCACTATGCAAAAAGAAGATTTCCCGTCACATCAAACTTGCGGTACATGCATGGAGTACTAAATGTTGACGAAATCAAAAACTAATTGCACAGTTTGGTTGTACTTTGCGAGACGAACGTTTTGAGCCTAATTAGTCAACGATTGGACAATTATTACTAAATACAAACGAAATGCTACATTGCGCTACAGTGCAGGAACAGTGCCGGAGAATTCCGGCGGCGCCGATTCTGCAAGGAACTAAACGCGGCCTCAATTGGCCTGAATACGAGTGACGGGGACAAGACTTTACCAAATTGATTGAGGAAGGACACGGCATGATGGGCTTTTGCCCGTGGGGAGGCGGTCTGCTCGTTATCTTAGACGGGACCTTAGTAATTGGATACGGACGCGTGAGCTCTGACGAGTTTGTATCGGACGCGGGCACGTGAACCCGGTCTTTATATCGAAACTGGATAGGACGCGGATGCATGAGCCGCATATTCGGCTGATATTAAATCTGGCTGAAACTGTTTTGTTGTGAGAGAAAAATACTGTAGATTCTGGCTGATAAGTTCAAGCGAATAGGCTCTTTGAGTGGAGATGATTTGTATCGGACATAGACACGTGGACAGGTATTGGGAATTGATATAACTGGATGATGACGTTTCAATCTTTTTATAGGTGTAGAGATTCAATCCAATTCAAAAATTCACAGCGATATGCAATATTCTATTGTCTCTAGTTGACGGCAACTTCTGGTGTTCAACGACGTTGAAATCGGATGCGGAAGGAGTTCGTGTCGGTTCTAGACTTGGTAACAGTTTGTGTCGCATCGAACGCAGGAGTTAGTATTTGACGCACGTGAGCATGGGCTTGCAAAATTCGGTATGACTGGGTAGATGATTTCTTTAGAGTCTTTTTTAGGTGTACTAGACGAATATCTGTGTGTTGCACCGGGGTCATGATTTTTTTGACCGGACTCAGTAATCTGACACGGACGTGTGAGTTCCGAGGACTTCGTATCGGACGCACACGTGGATCTAGTCTTCGTATCGAAACCTTAGAGGACACAGACACATGAGCTCCGAGTGGAGGATAATTCGTATAGACGTGGACGTGTAAGCAAATATTGAGATTTGGTATCACCAGATAGACGCTGATATTAGGGTCTTTTTAGGTGCAGTGTAGAAGAAGAGAAGAAGAGAGATATACTGTATATGTTTTGCTTAATAATATTTATACGCCTAACCCATTTTGTCCACTGTTGTGACCAAGTTCAATTTTCGTCATTCGGTCTATTAGTATTGCCTGTTGGCTGTTCGTGTATCGTCAATCTGCTATACGTAAATAAGAGAACCCCGCTATCTATATTTTTCTAGCTTCTTGTTAACCCGAAGCGTCCTCTCCATTCCGTCATGACGGCTGCTCAGCTTTCGTGCACTAGTAGGATACACATCCTGCTAGTGCATGAAAGCTGAGCAGCTGTTTAAACAAAAACTGATCAGTCATTGCTATCTATTAGTCTGTCTCGCTTTTCAGCCCACCAAGCACCATCCATTTATAACTACTCTTTTAACCCGAACAGGAATCCCTGCCTCCTCCTGGCTTCTAGCACTGTTCATTTTCCTTTCTTTCCTTCCCCTTTTCTGTTTCCTTTTTTTTCCCTTTTCATTACCTGCTTCTGGCACTGTTTATTTGCTTTTTTTCCCACGCCCGGCTACTGTTCTCCTTTCCTTTTTTCTCCTTTTTTTTTTCCTTCTCCGGCCTTCGGCCGCTGTTTGGTACTGTTCAGCCTTTCCGTTCCTCTCACGCAGCGGAGCGTGCGAATCTGCCTATACTATTCATAAGCGCTTGCAAATTGGAGCGGCGGTGGTCAGCTCACGGGCACATGCAGCAGCCCACACAGCGCTGCACAACGGCCTTTCTCTCGTGAGTCGTGCTGTTTCATGAAAAAAATAATATTTTTCTCTCACAACAAATCAACGAACAGTATTTTCAGTCATGCTTTTTCAGCGAAACGAACAGGGCCAACGTCATGGCGACGGCCTCTGTTAAGCGCGCGAGTCACTGGCCGTACTTGTATCTGGGCAATAGAAAATTCGCAATGGAAAAGCACTGACGGTGAACGCAATAGACGTTTGCCTGCACCGTCCGGCTAACAGGTAGTCCAGCAATGCATTCTAAAACAGCTACGATCACGTGCGATATGTCGAAACAGCACATATATATTTTACGCGAGACATAAAGAGTGTTCAAATAGTACTTAGTCTTACACGAGGCAGGCCTACACTGACACGTTAAATATCTAAACAGTACATATATTTTACATAGAACAGTCATAGGATAGAAAACAAATGAGACATACACTGCGAGATGGCACAACATAGCATACTACATACAACAAAAGTTATAGTAGCAGATGATAAGATGTAGCTCCTAAAAAAATTGGCAGCTGCTTGAGAGGCTGTCCTGATCTCCAATGCCATAGGAGCACAATGCTTAGCACATGTCATAGGAGCACAGGGTTAGCTATAATATTTAAGGGAAGTAGTTACTGCTCTTTAGCTTATCCTGATCTTGGTTATGAAATGTCACTGTATTGAAGCCTTGGTTTCTAGCTGAATATCACCTCTACGCTGCTACTCATAAGCTTCTTCAAGGATCTCCCTATCCATGTCAAATTCTTCCGCTGGTATACAAAAGTGAGAAAAATGTTCATTGAAGTAAACTGGCAGCGAGAATGGTAAATGACATAAGATGATTGTTTGCTCTGTCTATAAAAAAAGATGACCGTCTATTCATTACTTGTGCTACCACCGAAACATAGTTTTTTTTTATGTTTGTATGTAGGTTCTGTTGAATCAGAGTGACTACAAAGGTGAATCTTAATGAAACTATTTTTGTAATATACCGTGGAAATGTGTGAGTAGCTGTGGCTGCAACCTGTTTTCTGTTGACTGCAATTTTCCTAACCTTCAAACTCTAATCTATAAATTGTATATCAACAATAACATATTAGTAATATAGAGGTTACATCTTATTTTGTGTTATTTTCTAATTTGCATAGAGAGTCTAGGTA